TCCCTGAGTTGCGGTGGAGGTATATTTTACTTGAACTCATCAAACATTGTAATTTTATTTAGATCTAGCATGAAAGTATTCGTGGTTGATGAGTTCAAGGTGTGGATTTTGCAAGCTCGTGATTCGATCTCTATGGTGACGATGGTTGTGATCTAAGTTTCCTCTTTGAAATTTTGTTGGTTTGCTCTAAGTTACTTTGGGTGATGATCGGTTTTTGGCATTAGGTTTTATCGATTGGCTTACAACAATTGACTAGAAACCAGCATTTAGGGGCCAAAAAAAGAAAAATTTTCACCGGTGTGGTGGGCTAAATTAATTTCAACAATCTTTATAAACAAAATAAGAATTTTTTTTTTCCTTAAAGAAGTTAGTTTTTTGCTTAAAGTTTTTCTGATTTTGTTAGCAATGGTTTTGTCTTGTTTGTCCACTAATCTTCTTGTTTGCTTAGTGTTTTATCTTCATTTATGGTTGGCTTGATTTAAGAAAAAAACCTATTGACTGTGTTGGTATTTGTTTTCACACTCATTGTTAACCATGAAGTCTGACAAAGCATACAAAGAAGACGAAGATAAAGAGGATAAAAATACCATTCAGCATCATGGCGTGTGTTGATCTATGCCTATCAAATCAACGATATACCAAAGGTACATTTATGTGTATTTTAATTTAATTTTATATATATATATATATATATGTGATCTTATAAATGATTCAACCTTTATAACATCTCTTGATGCTAATTTGCAAATAATTCTGGATGATATGATATTTCATTGATCATGTAAGCTAATTAGATAAATCATTTCCATGCTACAAGCACTTACAACGAATATTGTGGTTATATTAATCTGACTATTCTTTAACAAAATAAATTTATAAAATTAGATAAACATCCCTTTTGTGGAAGACCAAAGCGGCAATGGACTAAGACAAGCAAAAGAGGTTCAAGCAAACAATCCAATTAATTTCCTCTCTTTGTCAATTTCATGATATTATTTAATAAACAATAATGGTCTTTTTAATTTAATAGAAATAAATTGGGCCTTGTAAGTTCTAAGTGGAATGACTAATTTTGTAGGCGGAACCAAAACTTGGAGAAGTCTATGCTTGCTTTGCTCGATCTGTCAAGTTAATGGGTTATAAGAAACTATATGTTAGCATTTTACATTAATCATATACTAAGACTCTTCACTTACACTAAAATAACTTAAGCTGGTTGGGAAGGACTCACTACACACTTATATACAACAACAACAACAACAACAACAAGCCTTTATCCCACTAGGTGGGGTCGGCTACATGGATTGCAAGACGCCATTGTGCTCTATCATTTATTAAGCTTTTAGAAATATTATTAATTAAGAGATCACGTTCAACAACTTCCAAGAGTGTTCTCTTAGGCCTTCTTCTACCTCTCTTAATCGGACTCAAAGTTATATGTTCCACTCTTCTCACTGGTGCCTCCCTTGGTCTTCTTTGTACATGTCCAAACCATCTCAACCGATTTTCTACCATTTTTTCCTCAATAGGTGCCACCCTCACTTTTTCACGTACGTGCTCATTTCGAATTTTATCTTTACGTGTATGTCCGCACATCCATCGTAACATTCTCATCTCTGCTACTCCAACTTTATGCTCTTGCTGTCCCATTAGAGCCCAGCATTCACTACTATATAACATTACCAGTCTGATAGCAGTACGATAAAACTTTCCTTTAAGTTTATTAGGCACCTTACGGTCACAAATAACTCCTTTAGCTTTTCTCCAATTAAACCACCCAGCTTGAATTCTATGTGAAATATCTCCACTGATTTCGCCATCATTTTGAATAATGGCTCCCAAATATCTAAACTTTTCCACTTGAGGTATAATTTGATCTCCCAATTTCACTTCCAAATTATTTTCGAATAGTCCTTTACCAAATTTACAATATAAATATTCTGTCTTACTTCTACTCAGACGAAAACCTTTCGACTCCAATGTCCTCCTCCATAACTCAAGTTTACAATTAACCTCTTCTCTTGTCTCTGCTATAAGAACTATATCATCCGCGAAGAGCATCACTACACACTTATATAGTTGTAATTAATTATCTTATTACTCAATGATCACACATCTAATACTTTAGACTTTCGAGTTAGTCATACTTCTCAAATATGTTCTTATCACTAAAATGTGTGTTTTGTAGGTTTATTCAATCTTATCCAAGGGTTCCTGATGCAGCCTAACCCAAAACATTAAATCACCTCTATTACTAGCAAACATGGAGTTCTGACGAGGTAACAAAATCATGTCCATTCATATACGATTTCAAGCCAGAACATGCATCCACGGGTGCTTTTGATGGCTAGTCATGCAGTCATGACTAGCACCATGTTTCTAGTCTATTACAAACCTGCAAGTCTACGGTTTTGACGTTTGTGACAATGTAAGCTAATTGCTGAGATCGTGATGCCTAATATAATTTATGTTGGCGTTGAGGATGGAGATAATTTAGATGTTGTCATGAGCACAAAATCAAAGAAAAAAGCCTATTCTAAAATACTAGCTTGTTGGGTTAAAGAGCCCCTCATATTAATCCCACTCCACTTTTGAGACTCGTCAATATAAGACTCATGGTAAATTTTTTATTCAATTCTCATAATCGCTTGTTAATCCTTTCTTACCAAATCAACGACATACCAAAGGTATATCAATGGTTATTTGACATCATATATTCATTTTCAATTTTATACATGTGTGTGTGTTCTTCAAATTGTAATATGTTCACACGCATGCAATGCCTTTTTTCATTAGTCTTTACATATTTGTTCAAGTATAGCGTTAAGTAATATTGTTAAGTAATTTTTGTTTCTTTGAACTTTTTCTAATGGTTAAAATGTCTACTACTACTGCTGCTACTGCTAATACTAATACTAATACTAATACTAATATTAATACTAATACTATTACTATTACTATTATTATTATTATTATTATTATTATTATTATTATTATTAGATGTTCAGTGACGAGAGGTGGAGACGAATTTGAAATGCGTTAATGTAATTAAGTTATTTTACATTTTGATTCTCATATGTCTCACTGACTTCTCTACAAAATAATCATGTGTAAATCCATTTGTATTTCCATCTCACATGGGATTATCAAGTTTTGTTCCTCAAAGTTATGCATGGTTTTCGAAAATGGCATATCATTTAAACAAGAAGTACAAATAGGTTTTTTGTGAGATTATTTTCTTTCTTTTTAAATCATAATAATGACACCATCATATTGGTATGTTGATTATTTAGTAGATTGACGTAAATGATCAGCATAGAAAGGCATTTTTATGCAAGTTATCGTAAATAATATACTATAACGATTAAAAGACTATATTATTTTATCAGTAGAGACGTGAAGATAATCCAATAATGAGCTCAATGAAGGAGCCATAAAAAATCTAAATGACCAAAATATCTATAGAAGAATGATAACAAAGTGTGTTGTTGAAAATCAAGACTTTTGCATCTTGTGATTATATTTTAGTGACAAGCTCCCACAAAAGCTTGTATTTGTAATAAAAAATCTGAAGTATGTGATTTTAAAAATTGGAGGTAGGTCAAGTAGTAGACTAAACCAAGATAAATGAATGTGTCCACTCTTTTTACTCAAACTTATTTCTTACTCACAAATTTGTGCATAAATTGTTCTACACTTTGCTTCCTCTTTTTAGTTGGAAACAGATTTTGAGAAAATTTTAATAACACCTAATTCCCCCTCTCTTAGATGCCAGTTTGATTCTATAGATTTTTCTAAAAAAAAAATCTTTTTCACTATATGTCATTCCATAACTACTCTTAATTCCTTATATAATTGTGTCAGCAAACACTCAGCTTAAGGAAATGGGAAATTAGATACCGGGTTAGGTTTGTATACATGTATCTTTGTACATGGAGATTAGTTTACGGTTATGTGTGCCTGTTCCAAGGAAGAAAAACTGATTTATTTTTCCAATATACAATGTATCTGTTTATATACAATGTATATCTGAAAATTTAAACTATCTGCTACTATAATTAATAATCATTATCAAAAGTCATAAACCTAAACTTATTCTCTCTGTCGTTGGATCTCGATTACTCTCTCCCCTATGTTATCCACGTTAGATGTGAGCAAACTCAAACTCAAACTGAAAATCAAATTGAATTTTGTTATTTGACTTTATCTATTTGGTTTTTTGTTTTGATTCATTGTTTTTTTTTAAAACATATGTCAGTTGATCGATTCAATTTAATTAGTAAGATTTAAAATTGAATTGACCAAACCATCCAAATTATCATGTATATATAATTTATTAATTTATAAATAATATTTAGTTTATTAATTACTTTATTTTATTTCATTCTTTTAATTTTATACTTAAATAAAATTAAATAAATATAATTTGATAAGTTGAAACCAAACCCCTCATTAAAATCTACTATCACTTTGCATACCCAATTTTATATATAAGCTTTGTCTATTTTAGTAGAAAAAATAACAAAATTAGCACAAGTCCAAGCAACCCAACATGAAGCCCAAAATCGAATTAACCGACTGTGAATTGTTAAATTTTAATTTACTCTTTGTTCGGTTCAATTTGGTTCGTATTTTTAGCATTGTTTGATTGATCGATTTTATATATTTTGGCACCAAACCAAAGCAACCAATGTGTAGTGACCCAAAATTTAATTGATATTAAAGTTTATAATAAGATATTTCAAATGTATTTTTATTAATTTTGTAACAAATATAATAAGGAAGATGGTGCTCTTGTTTGGTGGCTACCTTTAGTTTTGGGTTCGAATCCTCAAGGAAGAGTTGTGTTTTATTTTGTCTTAACTTATGAGAAATTACAAAAATGCCCTCCACTTGACCATCAGATATTTTCTTCCCTCTTCTTTTCCAATTAGTCTCGCATTTTATCCAAGGGAGAGGCAGAGAATATATTTCAAGAAGCTTCAAGTCTGGTTCACCATCTTCCTCTGTTTGCTGTCATCAATATCGAAGTGGGTGTGCCGGTGGTTGCTGTTTGTTCCCTCTGTCCAACATCGATCCTCATCTTCCCTCTGTCCACCGCGTCTCCCCATCTATTGTTCGTCTGCTATGATAGTTGCTGTCAGATCTCCTTCGAGCAGCAACGTTGCCCTGTTCCTGGGTGGTCTGGAGACGTCACCGTTTTGGTGGCCATGGGATGCTCTACTCTTTCCTTTTCTTCTCATGCTTCGTGCGATTTCTTCTCCTTCTTGCTCGCTCTCCACCTCTGTCTGTCTTCCTCGGTACCTGCTCTAACTTCAGCGTTCATGTTCGGGTTACGGATGGGTGAGAAACACAGTTGCCGGAGCCATTGGCAGTGCTGTCTCGAGCTTCGACTGGTGCTGTTGATCCGGTTTCTTTCCTTTATTGTGAGCTGCATTCAGTTTTGCCTCTCCCCTGCTCAACCATCTTAATCATCTCCTTCTCATTGCTCTGTGCCATGGAGATCTAAGGTCAATAACTTCAAATCTTTCTCATTTCTTTTTCTTTTTCTTGTGCTGAATCTCTATTCATGTTAGTAGTGACAATAGTTTTTGATTCCCTTTTCTTGTTCAGTTGTTGGCTGTACCGTTGAAGATGATTTGAGTTTATTTTCTTGAGTTAAATTCATTTCTTTATATTAGAGGAATGGAGATTGGGAGATTGATTGATTAAAATTACTTATTGTAAAATTTTGGAGGTTGGAAAGGAAGAAGGAGTAGTTTGGTTGAGTTTAAAAAAATTTACGCATAGAAAGTGCTTGACAAAATGATTGTTAGGAAAGTGAAATTGAAGAGGATGAGATTAGTATTAGTTATATAATTAATGCCCATAAGTGTTGGATGAAATGCCTACTAGGAGGACTTTGCTGATTCCTATTTTTGAAATTTCATTGATCCTGAATTTTAATAGGGATGTTGTCATCATGAAATTAATTGTGATTATTTGAATTCTTGAAAATGGAGAGTTTGTTGAAAAAAAATATTTAATTGGATGCTAGAGGTTTTATGAATGGATTGGAAATGATGTATACTTGGTGACTTGATAAAATGTTAATGATGAAAAAAAAATGTGTAAGGCTTCAGTTCTAAAGTTTCAAATTTAGTAGAGTTTAATTTTGTTAAGGATGATGTTAAAAAGGAACTATTGTATTGTTTGAAGGTTTAATAAAAGTCTTAATATGATATATAGGGTATTTGAAAAATGAGTTTGATTGAAGTTGCAAGAGGTGAAATTTGATCTCTTGAGAATTTCAGGTAAGTAGATATCATCCCAACTAATTTATCAATTAATTTTTCTTATTAAAATTTATTTTGTTACTTTGATTATTTTAATAATAATTATGTTGATTAGTGCATACTTGGTTAATTAAATTTTCTCATTTTTAAGTTTTAAGACGGTGGTGAAAAATGATTCATCATAGCATATGAATGTTTTACCTTTTATGAGATATCTTTTCAGGATTAATGAAATTCCTTTTCATTAGCATTGGCAATTTGTGATTATTTAATAAATGCAAGCATGAACATTGGATATGAAATTTAATTCTGGCAAGTTTTAATGGTTAAAAGTATTTATGCGAGTTTGATTTTGAGAATGAAAATTGTATTTTAAAAGTGATGATTTTCTCGCATATTTGAAAATGATTTAAAAAAAATTTTATACAAAACACTGGTTGCTAACGGCAGTTCCGTTAGCCCTTGGTGCGCCATGGTACACCTAGCTAGCAGGGTGTTTATAGGAAGTGCTAGCCCCGTGCGATGGCTAACGCACGTGGAATGGAGGGATGATTATTCGTGAGCATTGTACTCACATTTGTTTCATGGCTTCAAGTTGCGTTTGGTTAGCATTACCCTTATGGATTGTGTATTCACGTTTGTTTTGTGGCTTCAAGCTACGTTTGGTTACACACTTTCGTGGACTGTGTGTCCACGTTTGCTTTCGTGGCACAAGCCATGTTTGGTTAGTTTTCTTCGTGGACTTTGTGTCTACGTTTGTTAATTATTCTAATAAGTCCCTATAATTATGAATCCAATCATTTGATGATTTCATGTTCTATTGGTTTTTATTTAGTAGTTTATTTATAAATATTTATTTCATTTATGTGCTTTCTTGAAATCAAGTGATATTATCATTTACTATGATAGTTCAATAATTTGAGATTTTATTTGAAATTTATAGAGCTATTTTATTATGAAGTTTATTAAATTTTTATGAAAATTTTGTCTATTTAACTTACATAACTATTTCAAACTTTTTATTTTATTTATGTTCTATTGTTTATTGTTGGGACGTTATTCACTGAAAAATTATTTGTGTCTCATATGCCTTAGTTGACGTTGATCTTGCTACCGACCTTGAGTACTTATAGACAGGTGGAGGGTTGATTGAAATTTTCTTTTGATGTAATTATTACTGTTTATGTATCTTATTTTTATTTTATTTTTTGAAAAGTACAGTTAGGTGCTCCACATAAGCTATAATTAGGACTTTTATTTATTTTATATATATGCTGTCTGTCGACTGGAAGGAGCTAAGCTCCTGATTTATTTGACTTTTTGACTGCATCAATGTATTGTATAAATTTGGGAGATCACATTTACAAGAAGAGGTTTTGTTAAAATTTCTACGAACATGTTGAAAATTGGTTATAATTATTAGTGTCAAAGGTGTTATAATTTCAAAATAAATCTGATTTCATTTTAGAAATAGAATGAACTTACGATTTAAGGCTTACGGGGAGGTGTGAAACGATTCACCTCTTGTGCCGGTCACTCTCCAAATTTGGAGCATAACACGATGCTCACCCCTACTCCACATGGTTGTCGTTTGAGGAAGGCGTGTGTGTTGTTGGGTCAATGTGTGTGTGGATGGTGATGGATCATCTCTTCGATTGGCAACTGAAGGAGAATCACTCATATCTGGAATTCCTGAGTTATGATGGAGGTGCATTTTGCTCAAACTCATCAAATATTGCAATTTTATCTAGATCTGGTATGAAATGCTTCTGGTTGATCAATTATGCAAGCTTGTGATTTGATCTCTATGGTAAGGATGGTTGGGATCTCAAAAGCCTCGTCATTGACATTTTGGTGGTGTCATTTTGCTCTCTATGTTAAGTCATTTTGTGTTATGATTGGTTTTTGGCATACGTTTTCCTGATTTGGCTTACAAGGATGGATCTAAGAGCTAGCCTTTAGGGGCGAACAAATGAAAATTTTCCTCAAAATATGGGCTAAAATTAATTTTAACAATGTTTACAAACAAAATAAGAATGTTTTTCTCTTAGAGTTGTTGGTTATTTGCTTAGTGTTTTTCTAATTTGGTTAGGAAAGGTTTTGCCTTGTTTGTGCATGATTGTTTGTGTTTGTTTAGTATGTTCTCTTCAATTATTGTTGGCTTGATTTAAAGAGAAATTAATAGACTGTTTGGGTATTTGTTTTCTGTCATTATTATTAACCATGAAGTCTGGCAAAGCATACCATGATGATGGGGAGAGAAAGAAAATAAAAATTCATTCAATGTCATGGCCCGGGTTTATCTATGCCTATCGAATCAATCATATACCAAGGTATACTTTACTGAGTATTTCAATTCGATATATATATATTTATATATTTAATCACATGGTCAAACCTTTATAACATCTTGATTCTTATATGCAAAGAATTATGGTTGATATAACATATATTTCTTTGAAACATTATCATGTAAGTTTATTAGATAAATCATCTCTATGCAACCACATACCCCAAATCAAGATCATTTGATATTATTTTGTGGTCACATTAATCTGATTATTCTTTAACAAATAAGTTTATAAAATCTGATAAATTTACCTCTTGTATTGAAGACCAAATTAAAGATGCAATATGTTGAGAGAAGAACAAAAGGTTCAAGCTAATTAATCATCCAATTGATTTCAAGCTTTGTAAAGTTCATGCTCCTGCCTCATGTGTCTCAATGACACTATACGGTAAGATCCTTGAGTACCAAGCATTGACATTGTTTTAGAGCATTTTTTTATCAAGTTCAAGAAATAAAAATACTTACAAACATATATTTTTTATAAATTTAAACAAAGGGTCTTCCATATATAACCATTTTCACATCAACCACTATAACTATTTTATAATCTTTCTAACTTTGAACTCTATCCTTTGAATTAGTTCTCTTTTGTTGATTGATTATGATCATATAAAATTTTCTTTTTAAGCTGTGAAATCATGTCAAAAGAAAGTTGACATTACAATTGTGATTGATTATAACCAATGGTCAATACCATAGTTCAAGCAGAAATATTTTGAATTGAATAAAAATGTGGCAATTGTATTTATGGAATTTAACATTTCTCCATGACCATTATGTGGATTAATTGTTTCTTGTGTCTTGTAAAAGCTCATATTGTATGTTCTTTGACTTTTAAAATCCATAACCCTTCAGCTTTTGACCTTCATTTTGACATGTAATTGAGTCAATGTTGTAGAATTGTGCAAGCTAATTAAGAGGCAAAGTTAATGTTTCTTTAATGTTATGAAGAATAAGTTCAAACACTTCAACATTATGCTTTGCAACTGCAGAAATTATTGCTTGAACTGAAAATGAAGAAAGTGAAGTATACATGGGAACTATGAGAGTAAACTTGATTTTAGATGATGATCCTCTAAGAGAAAGTTCTCTTTCAAAGAAATTCATGAAATTCATTGTTTCTAAATCTCCTTGAAAAAAGTTAAGCTTGTGAGTGATTGTCAATATGTGTTCCCATTTTTTGGACAATGTTCGTATCATGGGAAGAAATGAAACAATATGCGAAAGGACATTATCATATGTGTCATTCAAGCTTATACGCCTACCATCAATGCCTTTCTTATTATTTTATAGGTAAGAATTTTTTAGCTCTAAGTAGGAGTACTTGTCACTTCATCTCATGCAATTGCCACCATATTTTTGTGTTTTACAAGCCTAGTTTTTGCTTTAAACATCATCCATTATTATGTATTTATTTTTATTGGAATACATGTTAGTGTAACTTATAATAGGAGCAATCTTAAAGGAGTAACTGTGGAAATACATGTCACTTGTCATGAAACATAAAGGCCTGAGAAAGATAGAAATAGCTTGTCATTCATGTTTGCTATATATATTCTTGTAGTTATGACTATTCCACATTATACGGTCGTTTTCTGTGAACCACACGTTTTGGTCTCCATCTTATCAAAAGCTAATATTATTTAAACTTTATGAATGGACAGAGGAGCATAAATTAGAATATTTTGAGGCTCATGACAATGTTTGCTAAGATCATGAAACCTAATAAAGTTAATGTTGAAGTTGAGGATGGGAGACAAAAAAGTTATTATATAAGCACAAATTCAAAAGAAAAGCATATTTTAAAAGACTAGCCCATTAGTTGGAAGATTTTCTTATACTTATAAACTCTATTACAATTGTGAAGATCCCCGATATAAAACTTGTGACAAATGCTTTATTGAATCTTCATTATTGCCTGTTAATTTTTGCTCACCAAAGTTAATGATATACAATGGTTATTTGACATAATATATCCATTTTCTTGTGTGCATGTGTACATACATACATACATATATATTCAAATCGTGTAATATCTTCAAACGAATGCAATGGCCTTTTTATTAGACTTTACATATAAATTCAAGCAAAGGATTGAGCAATATAGGTTTAATGTTAAGTACTTTTTGTTTCTTTAGACTTTTCTAATGGTTAAAATGTCTATTATTGCCAGATGTTCCATGAGGTAGGAAGGTGGAGATGAATTCAAGAGCGTTAATGTAATTAAATTCTTTTACGTTTGAATTCTCATATGTCTAACTTTGACTTCCGTACAAAATAATCTGTAAATTTATGTATATCTCCATCTCATATGGAATTGTCAAGTTTTGTCCCTCAAAGTTGTGCATAAGTTTCGAAAAATAGAATATTATTAAAAACAAAAGGTATAAATATAAATAGGTGTGTTGTGAGATTATTTTCTTTCCTTTTAAATAATAATAATGACATCATTCAATTGGTTAGGTTGTTAATTATTTAGTGCATTGACAATGTGACATAAATAATCCACATAGAAAGAAATTTTCATGTCATGGTAACTATATAAATAGCATGCAAACAATTAAACGATTATATTATATTAACTGTAATGGTGTGAAGATAATCCATTAATGAGCTCAATGAAGGAGCCATAAAAAATCACTCGTGACCAAAATATCTATGTAATCTATTTTGTCAAGTTGTGTTTAAACATTGAGAAATTATAGTTTGATATTAACAATTTGTCATCTATTTTGGAGTTTTAGAAGTAAATTGTAGTTTAAATTTTGAAAAGTTGTTATTTAAATATTAAAAAGTTGTAATTCAAAATTTGACAAGTGGTTCTTTCACTAGTATTTTAACATTGACTACTTATTATATGACCGGGCAATTTCTTGATGTTTATTTTTTTATAAGTTGAGACCAATCTGATTTAATTTAATAGAAATAAATAAAAAATATTTTGTCTATGAGAATTTTTGTTATATTTATATTTGTCTCACTTGTCTTTTTTGCCTTATTATACATGTGGCTGTTATATAATATGTCTGTGGGTTGTTCGATGAACTAATAGATAAAGAACTAATTTAGACTTAGAGAGATAGATGCAAATAACCAACTTAGAGATAATTTTGGATATGTGATGACTTAAATTGTAGCTTAATGAATTATTTAAGGCCTCAATAAGTTTTGAGGAGCTAATTCAACCTTAGATAAATACACTCTCATGTACTAAAAAAATGATAATTAAGATACTTTAGAAATAGTTGTCACTATAAGTAAGGGAGAATAACATAATTAATTTAGAGTAAGCCATCCCAATAAGTGAATCTCAATCTCTAAAACTCATTTGATTGGTTGGTTATCCATTTTTATTATTGTTCTTTGTCATGTGTTAATTAAATATTAATCTCTTTTTCAATTATTTGCTTTTCTAAAATAGCAAAGTTAACTATTTTCCTTTGGGTTTGACTCTAGAATACTCTAAGAATTATTACTATATCGATCTTGTATACACACAGGAGCAATCACTTAGAATACTCCAGGATCTTATTACTGCATTGATCATGTGCATTTACGGTAGAGATCACTTCCATTGCCGAATAATGATTCATAAATTAGGATTTTGCAAATAACCAGCAAGAATAAAGGTGTATATATGTATCTTTGTAAGTGAAGATCAGTTTTGCATTAGGATTGCCTCTTTTAAGGATGATTTTTAATCATAGAAAAACAAATTTAATGTTTAAATATACAATGTTTCTGATTATATTCAATGGAGTGCAAGCGGATGCCTTAAGAATTATGAGTCATGACGGAATAAAATAAGTAAGAAGATTTATTTGCAAAAAAATATGTTTTGGCCCCAAATATATGAAAATCTTTCATTAAGATTCTGTATTTAAGAGAGGAAAACCTTTATTAAAAAATATTTTAGTGATAAAGTAATGAAATGAGAAAGAAAATAATTAGATAACAAGAAATTCTAAGACTAATGGAAATATAAGCAAAGCAATAGCAGAATGGGTAAATTTTAGAGAGGAGTAACAAAGTACGCTAGAGTGGCTTTCTAATTCACTTTCATTCATATAGGTGTAAAAGACTTTGATATTGTTCGTCAATCATAAATGATTAACACATCCTTATCCAAAAAAAAAAAAAAGGACTAAGACATGGATTTACACTATATCCATACAAACATAATGATATTCATTAAGCAAAATCAAGGATTCATCCATGCATTTGGTATACACAAATAAGTTTTAGTTAGAGTTTTGTTTTATTGCAATGTATATAAATTAATAATATTTATTAAGTTTGTATATTGAATGCCTTAGATGTAAAAGAATGGAGCGAGACAATAATAATAGGATAGAAATGAATATTATTGTTCTTGTTTGTGTATATTTAGAGAACAAAGGATCATATAAATAATACAATTCTAATGTGTGCAAGATTTAAATTTATTTACCTTTTAAAAATCCATTTTATTTTTAAATATTTTGGTTAAATCTTTTGCATGATGTGCCATTCCTAACTACTCATAATTCCGCATACATTGGCAATAGCAGACGCTCATCAACATAAGGAAAGGGGGAATTAGATACATTATATATTTGAAAATTTAAATGCTACTCCATAATTAATAATTAATCAGTAGAAAAAGACCTATACCTAAACTTATTCTCTCCCCCTCTCTCACACCCACAGACAAAGACATACAATCACTCATTCACACACTCGCACGTGCAGGGGCACACATTTCTCGTAGCACTTTATTTACATGTTATTAATAAAATTCTCTTGAGAAAAAGATTGTAATCAATTGTATGTGTGGCAAAGGGCCGGTCCCCTTTTATTTCTCTCTTATTGTAAGAGAGAGCTTGTTGTTCGTCGTGCATTTTTTGTCGATGGATCTAGGTTACTCTCTGCCCTATGCTCTCAGCGTGAGAGGATTTGAGGTAGGCGCATGTGTTTTCCAGCTAATGAGAGTGTTGGGATAGTGATGGATCATCTCTTCGATTTGCAATCTAATGGTGAATCAGTCAGATCTGGCTTCCTTGAGTTGCGGTGGAGGTATGTTTCACTTAAACTCATCAAACATTGTAATTTTATTTAGATCTAGCATGAAACTATTCGTTGTTGGTGAGTTGAAGGCGTGGATTTTGCATGCTCGTGATTCGATCTCTATGGCGACTATGGTTGTGATCTAAGTTTATTCTTTGAAATTTTGGGGGTGTGCTTTTGCTCTTTTCTTTAATTTACTTTGGGTGATGATCGGTTTTTGGCATTAGGTTTTACCGATTGGCTTACAACAATTGACTAGAAATCAGCATTTAGGGGCCAAAAAATGAAAGATTTTCACCAGTGTGGTGGGCTAAATTAATTTCAACAATCTTTATAAACAAAATAAGAATTTTTTTTCCCCTTCAAGTTGTTAGTTTTTTTGCTTAAAGTTTTTCTGATTTTGTTAGCAGTGGTTTTTGTCTTGTTTGTGCATTAATCTTCTTGTTTGCTTAGTGTTTTATCTTCATTTATGTTTGGCTTGATTTAAGAAAAAAACCTATTGACTGTGTTGGTATTTGTTTTCACACTCATTGTTAACCATGAAGTCTGACAAAGCATACAATGAAGATGAAGATAAAGAGGATAAAAATATCATTCAGCATCATGGCGTGTGTTGATCTATGCCTATCAAATCAACGATATACCAAAGGTACATTTATGTGTATTTTAATTTAATTATATATATATATATATATATATGATCATATGTATATGGTTCAACCTTTATAATATCTCTTGATGCTAATTTGCAAATAATTCTGGATGATATGATATTTCATTGATCATGTACGCTAATTAGATAAATCATTTCCATGCTACAAGCACTTACAACAAATATTGTGGCTATATTAATCTGACTATTCTTTAACAAAATAAATTTATAAAATTAGATAAACATCTCTTTTGTGGAAGACCAAAGCGGCAATGGACTAAGACAAGCAAAAGAGGTTCAAGCAAACAATCCAATTAATTTCCTAGCTTTGTCAAGTTCATGATATTATTTAATAAACAGTAATGGTTTTTTTTAATTTAATAGAAATAAGTTGGACCTTGTAAGTTCTAAGTGGAATGACTAATTTTTGTTGGCGGAACCAAAACTTGGTGAAGCCTACTGTCACGGGGCTAGTCTTTCGACCCATGCGGCACTTAGACAACCTTCACTGGAAGTTGCTAAGTAAGCCTAACTCGTATGAAAGGAGGATGCTTGGCTAAGAAGAGGAAAGGGAAAGCTTGAAGGCAAAGGAGAGTAGAGAGAATTTGGAGCATGTGAGAGTTCTATAGCTTTGAGAACTCAAGGATGATTTACAAATGAGGAGGGGTGAGGTATTTATAGGCCTCCCCTTAGATCTAGAATGTTCCCACCTCCTTAATGGACGGTGGAGATTAAATCTATCCTACGGATACAATTGATTCTCTAGAATTCTCTTAAGAAATATCTAGATATTTAAATGGAAGAATCTAGAGACAATATTAAAATATTGAGGCTAGAGTTGTGTAGGCTTTTCTAGAATGTTCTTGCACTCTCTACCACTCTTAAGGTTAGCTGGGAGCCTTCTGGAGGGTTCTGGAGCATTCCGGACCTTGTGAAAAATGGCGAAATGTGACATTCTCCCCCACTTGATTTCGCGACGCCCTCGTCGCGCCTTCCTCCTTGTAGCGTTGGATTTGGTCCGTGAACTGCCACAAGAGGTCTTCATGTTCCCAACTAACTTCAAAGTCTGGTTGACCCTTCCACTTGATTAAGTACTCAGTGTAGTTGGGAACTCCTCTCTTCCTGATCACCCTGTCTGTAAGGATTTCTTCTATCTCCTTGTCATACTCGGTGACGACCGTTATTGGTGCTCTCTTAGAGATACCTCGAGATGGATCTTCTTTATCTCTATAATATTTCTTCAAGAGACTAACATGGACGACAGGATGAATCTTAAGCTTGGGAGGGACTTGTACCTGGTACGCAACCTTTCCCACACGTTTGATGATAGGGAAAGGGCCTTTATATCTCCTGGCCAAGCCTTTGTGGACTTTGTGTAGTGACTTGAATTGATTCGGCAATAACTTAACCATGACCAAGTCACCTACTTGAAATTCAATGAGGTGCCGCTTCTTGTCGGCCCACTTCTTCATTTTTCGGGAAGCTTTATCAAGGCATGCACGAGTAATGTCGGCTTCTTCTTGCCATTCCTTGGTAAACTTATAGGCAGCTGGATTGTCTCCCTTGTATGGTGTGGCAAGTGCGTTGGGGGTTAGAGGTTGTTGTTCGGTAACTATCTCAAAAG